TAACTTCTGATATTGTAAGTCTTAGGGCACAATAGTCAATGGATATAGGATGGTTTCTGTACATCAGCAGAAATGGAAAAAAATCTTTACTTTGTGTGATTGAAGAATACTCAAGTTTTGGACTGCAACTGTCCCAGAGCAGCTGCTGCTGCTCTCAGGGGAGCATCGAGCCTCAGGTTGACTTTCTCGCTTGTCCACTGGAATTCACAATCCCATTCTCTGTTTGCTGAAAGTGCCCAACATTTCCTTATGCTGATCCCAAATCCTGCCTTTTTCCACACCAGCTGGTGACAGCAGAAGCAGGCACTGCACGCCAGGATGTCCCACTGTGGAGTGGCTGCTCTGCAAGGACCACTCCCTGCTAAGGCCCTCATGGAAGCACTCAGAGGCTGTAAGTGACCTGTGTGACCACATATCCATGTTACAGGTTAATATATATATGCTGTCTGAACACAGGACTGCTGCTGGAACAAAGTATGTATGTATGTATGTTTTAAGGATTTTATAGGCCTTAGGATTTCCTTTTGCTTTTCTGTAAAGCTTGTAATTTTGTTCATCTTTTGTAAAAATTCCTATTTGTGTGAAGTTGGATAAGAAAGTAAAAAAAAAAACAAGCAGTGTGTGTAAAAATGTATTTGTGGTCATAGTTGTGAGTTGGAAAATGTCGAACAAAATTAACTTTGGGAAAAGCTGGAAAATTCATTCAAAGTCAGCACCAACTGAAGAAGGTAAAATAAAGGAACATAGGAAAGTTTTAGTATTTGAACAGGCTGTGAAAAGTAATTAGAATTAGTACTTAGTAGGAGTTTTTGACTGGGTTTGCACCTGGTTTTAAGTTGGTTACAGTAACTGATGCAGAAGTTGTCTGTGTAATGCACTTAACAATGTTTACCAGGAGGTACCGTCTGAGCATCTCTGCAAAGGAAGCTGTGCATGGTGCACCTGCTTTAGAGACAGTGTAGGAATGGTGAGAGACAATGCTGCTAATAATTTTGTAGAAGTTTTAGCACATAGTGCAATTCCTTAATGAACTCGAGCAGGAACAGGTTGTTGCTCGTTTATCTTAACAATAGATACTCATATAATGTTGACTCTTGAGTTTTAATCTTTTTATTAAGAGCTTTTTATATTAAAAGAATATGTAATATATATACTTCTTTTCCCCCCCTAAAGTACAACGTGCTCAGTGCCCCTGCTGGCTGACTGGGCTCCTGCACAGAGGCAGACTGAGCTGGCTTTGCTCAAAGAGCCGTGTCAGCTGCCAGGCCAGGGGTGCCCATGTGCAGCCCCAACCCCACTGGAGTCTGGCTTCCAAAAGAACCCCACAGAACTATTCAGACACAAAACTGTTTTGGTAGTAAGGAATTACTTAAACTGAAGGATGGGATTCCCACATTCAGCTTTGAAACAGAATGGTTTTTTACAATCTCTCAAGCCCCCAGCCCTGTGTAAATAAGCAATAAATTATGTAACCATGCCAAATGACAATGTACAGTAAGTTTCAAAGTGCAAGACTGTGGTTTGTAGAGGGTGATGGTGAGGGAAATTTCCTGGTCAAGATCTTGCTGGTGGTGGCATTACTAATACTGTGCTTCTAAATGTTTTAATCCTTTTTATAATATTTTAAAGTGTGATGGAAAGTTAAGTTGTTGAGCTAATGCATATTAAACAACTTTTATATTTAAGAGGTTCATTTTTTTTTTCTGAGAAGAAACAAATTTCAAGACTTCTTTAATCCATAATCCCTGAGAACAGTAGCCAAGTCCTTACTGTTAGGAGCCAGTGAGCTGTTAGCAGTTTGAGAACTTCTAAAAAACCCAAACCAAACCAAAGTCAACATTCCCTGTGTTTGAAGCATAGATGAGTTACTGTCAGGACATGGTTTATGTACACTTATATTTCACACAGCTTCTCAGTTCACTTTTGTGCAAGATTTTCTTTCTGGATTTCCTTTTGTAAGGTTGTAGTTAGAGCTAAGAGTCTGCAAAAAGAATATATCCAGAATATTCAGTTGTATAATTCTGGGATGTCTTCAGCACCAAATTAAAGCAACAGCTCTGATGAAATAGAAAACCAGAAAAGACCTTCAGAATTGACAGACACCTTGTTAGGAAAACTGCAACAGTGCAGTTGTGTTTTTAATCTGGCATTTTTGGCCTTGACTAAAATTTTAAGGGTGAACTTGAATAAAAAGGTAATGAGGACTCCACATTGGGCCTCAGATTGTCCCCCCTGAGTCTGGTGTACAGCAGGATGTGGGATGGATTGTACATGGAATTGTTCCCTTCTGTCTCTGGCTGTGTGCTATATTGGCAATATTCATTCTTGAGTTTAGATCTTACTGAATAGTCTTGTAAAATGTAATTGTTCCATGATTTGCTCCTCTTCAGGAGGAGTAACTGACCTGTTGCTGCGGTGTGCCTGCACTTACACAATGCAAAAAGAGTCAGTTATCTACAGTTTGTACTTAAATGACACTTTCATCCCCCAAGCACTCCTTAATTAGTAAATTAAAATGGTTTTGAGCTTGAGAAGTATTTGTACTTAAATTGTATAATTTGAATCCAGAGATTTTGCAGATGGTATGATTCTGTTGTAAATACCTAATAAAAGGTGTGTGCAGTGCTGCATTGACAGTTGTGTTTACAGTAGTTGATGATAGTTGGTTTTTGTTATGTAGGTCACATGTTGTGTCTGAAGGCTGCCAAGAGTGTGGCATTTTTGGTCATGTTATACTGAGAGAATAAAAGTTAACAGATGTCATGGATTTACAGAAGTACACAGGGGTGGGTGTGTGTGTAAATATTTAGAATTGAGGAGTATCTCAAACATCTCCATTGGATTATTTTTTCCCCTAAAACCATTCACAGTTGTGCCAGTACACTCAATAGTTAAGGTCAGTTGTTAGAAAACCTGAAACAACAAAGCAAGAAGCCAAACAGAGTGTGGGGGTCTGGTAGAGGTCCAAAGGCCCACGCTGGGAGGGTGCTTGTGCTCACAGTGAAGTTGCAACACTTCCTTGGTTACATCTGCTTGTACATGAGAAATATTTAGGGAACCATAGTTTCTCAAGTGTTAACATTTCTTTTCAAAGTGTAGAAGAATATTTAAGTAGTCTTGCAGGATAAAGACTTAATACATTCTAGACTGTAAATCTTTGTAAAAACTACTTCCATTTTTTTCCTTGTATAAAATACAAATCTCAGTTGTGAAACCCAAAGATGAATAAAGCTCTATAAAGGGAAGGTTCTTAAATTGCATTTATTAAAACTTAAGCACATTTCAACACTTTTGACACAGGGCTTCAATAGACAGGGTGTTGGGTTCCTATGAGGGTTTGTAACCCAAAACTGCCCTTGGGTCAGGTGGAGATCCTGGGCTGTGCTGGGGGTGGGACTGAGGGATGGGGCAGGAGCTGGAGTGATTGAGTGTTGGCTGTGAGCCTCAGTGGGGCTCAGCTGCATTTGAGATTTCAGGGTTTGTGTGTGCTCATGAGCCAGGAGACAAACTGTAATGAACTCTGACTCAGCTGGAGAGAAATAACCAACAAACCAATGGAGTAATGACACAACACTTGAGCAGGCAAAATGTTACTTGTTTCTTGGTAAAAGTCTTTTTCACCAGGTAAACTGAAACTTTGATTGCAGACCCATCTGTGACTTAGAACACGTCGGGGCTGTTGCAGAAAGCAATTGCAAGTTGCAAAAAAAGGGTGATCAAAATATCACTGACTCATATTTTGATCAAAATATCAAAATATGACTGAGCCTTCAGAGGTTTCAACTGTTCTGGACATGGCTCACAGCAAGGCAAACTCCTGGGATTGGAGCCCAGCATTTGCTGAGGCTCTTCTGTAAATGAATATCCAGGTAGAGTTTGATGACTCCATCTCTGTGTGGCTGCTTTTCCCAGGCAGCACAATGGGATGAGCATTGCCTTGGCTGCAGTTCCAGCCCAGCTGCAAAGGGCAGGAACAGAAGAGAACTGGAGTGGCACCTGTGCTGCATTAGTTGACCTTTATTGAAGTTATTAGGGAGGAGGCACAGAAGGGGTAAGGGTTTGAGGGAGGAGGTGGCCCTGCTTGTCACTTTTTCCTTGGAGGACACAAAGCTTCCTGGTTGGATTTTATTAAAAGAAGCTGTGAGGTCATTTCCAAATACAGAGAATTAAGACATTTTAGAAAAATTATTTAGACACAACTTGTGCTATTTGCACAAGGGCCCCTGAGACATCTGAAGGGGTTGCAGAAGGCACTGAAAGCAACTCATCCTTTCTGCTTGCTTACACTCTCCTTCCTTCAGCTTCAAGCTGTGCCTGTTCTCCTCTGGAACTTCCCCAGGCCGTCACTCAGGGTCTCTTTTCCTTGAGTCATACTCAGTTGTCCCTTGAGAAATCTGCCACAGTTCCAGCTGAGGCAGTTTACAGCCAGACAAAGCTTTCAGCTACCCAGCTGCATGCTTCCACATGGAAAGAGGATGAATGTCCTCAAGGAGCATGACTGGGGACAAGCAGAGGAGGCAGCTGCTTCACAAACACAGGGGTCCTGGCCAAAAGAGACCTGAGCAATGTCACTCCACAGAAAGATGTGGAGTTCCTGTCTGGGCCAGCAGCAGGAGGAGGGCAAAGGGGAGAGCTCCATGAGTGTGTGATACAAGTGAGCACCTGGCTTGCTTTCACATGGAACAGAGCAAAGGAAAAATTCAGCCATAGGAAGAGTGGGTGTCATGGCAGTGGTCTGAGGACAGCAGAAAAATGTGAGAAATAGCAAAAAGACAGGAACAAAACCCCTGTGAAGCTGTAACTGAACAAAAGATCACCTCAGAAGAGCAGTAGCATCTGAATGGATGAAAAGAGCTGAAGGTGCCCTTCAGGATCATGGCTGAGCTGAGAGCCCAGCAGCAGGGACACAGGAGATGAGAAGCAGCAATCCAGCAAGCCATGAAGAATGCTGATTTAGCAAAACACAGAGCAGGGCAGAGCACCAGGGAGAGCACAGAGAGCTTGCCCTGAGGCTACACAGCTTCAGCAATGGGCAAAGAGAACAGGGGATGTGGTTTGCTGTCCTTCAAATAAAGGAGACTAAAGAGGCTTTTGCTATGAAGGGAAGGGACTGGAAAGCAGGAAAAGAGTGGAAATGAACCATTAAAATTTTTAAAGAGTGCTATGAAGCTAGATACAGTCATCTAGTACAAAGGCAGTGTAATTTTAATTCTTACAGTAGATGTTAAAGTACGTTTATGGGATTATTTTCATTAAAATCTTAATAACAAATGGTTTTAAAATAGGACAGCTGCTTTGTGACAAAGAATGGCTATCCTTAATTGGCAGCATGAGACCCAGAACCACCAGCAGGCAACATAAACTGCTTGAATTTCAAGTCCTGTTGGGTCTGGAAACAGGGTACAAAACTACAGTAAATGCTGTTTCTAGATGAGCACACTATTACAATAAAATTAGACATCATGGGGATTGCTACATCCCACTCTACTGTGCAGCCTGCACCTACCCACAGCTTCCCTTTCCTTCAGAACCTCCAGGACATTCATCTCACAAGGAAAAGCTGAATATCCAAGAGTAAAAAGATCATCTTGCACAATGCAGACAAGGCTAAATGTAGCCACACCATTGCTCGTATACCTCACCATCAGTTTCTCTCATCTAGGAACAATTGCATTTCACCAGTAATTCTTCCTGAAAGCAAAGCCCTGGTACATTTTTGGAGCAGCACTTTTTTACTATGCACAAGTGTTACTTGATTCCTTTTACACCTTCCAGCTGTACTGTATAGTAGCAGAAGGATGGAGGAAGATGAGGAGCAAACACAACACTTAAAGTCCTGCTGCTGCCAGGGCCGGGTGCCGCCGCTGCAGGGGAGTGGCCAGGCAGCCACAGCCGCCGGGCCATCAGCCTCATCAGCAGCTGGTTGGACCAGGTTATCCCAAGGGCTGGAGTGACTCTGCTGCCCGCTACCCTGGAAGGGAAGTATGACACATTTCTGCATGCATGGATTTCACAGGAAATACCTTCTGTTGTAACCAAACTGCACTAGAAGGCATCGTGTATTGTTTTTCTAAGATATACTGAAAACTGTGGGTCTTTGAAGACAGAGGTGACAGGGTTACTCACAAAACTTAGGTTCTCCCTGTGGCAAGGAAACAGCCGGAGGAGAAGTGATTCTGTACAAACAGCTGTCATTCTTTCAACTACAGCTAGGGGGGAATACCTGCCTCCATCTGGACAGGCCTCTCTTGCAACAGGAAAACCACACGAGAAAAATGGTTGAACTTTTAATATCTGAAGTGTGTAACTGTTGGCCTTGGATTCCATTTGCAGGTATATTTAGAAATGGTGGGTAAACAGAAGACTGCATTTGTGTGACTTTCAACTCAAGGTTTCCTGGAAAAAGTGCAATTTCTCCAGTAAAATAAATACAAGATAACCAGGGAAAAATAATAATTGAACCTTATTCTTGTTCTGTGTTAGTTCCAGAATCTGAAGAACAGAGTGAACTTCTCACAAACGCCCATTTATGTAGCACCCAATTTTTGCAGTAAATCAAGGTTATAGTTAGGATTCAAACAACAAATATGTACATTTGAATCCTGTTATTATCTTGGTGTCAGAAGATACTATTTTGGGTTTTTTCTTAGCTTACTAACACAGCCAGCTGCTAGGGTTTGGTTGCTGTATTTTTTAAGCAGACAGGAGGTGCATGCAGTTACATCAGAGACAAGATGCAGAAATACTCTTGTGTCAGCAGGTACTCAGGCCATTAACTCCAGAGAATTTTTCCTGCTAACTTGTGATCAGGGATTAAATGTAAATGTGTATGACAGTTTCTTCCCCTTCACAGTACAAGCTAGTGCTGATCTCCAGCAAATCCAGCATTGCTGGGTAAATGCCCCAGTGCTCCTCACATGACTTTATAGCCTACCCTGGAGTGACAAAGATCAGAATGGTTCAGAGCTGCTGTGTTTGACATTGTCACTCTGTGTGGGTGACTCACCTGCAACTGCACTGAGCAGCTTCTGACTCACTCACTGCATCCGTCACCTGGAGCACAAAAACAGATTTGCAGCTGACCTGGGGTTCTGGGTTTGTATTCAGCAAGCACGAGGGCAGGGAAGGGAACCAAGGCAAGAAAATCCAAGTTATCAGAGCATATATTAAGCCAAGTTAGAAAACACTTATTCTTTCAAGGCAAACTAAAATGGATTTCGGAATCACAAGCTGAGTTTGTAGTGTTAGAACTACTTAGCAAGGTACAGCTTACATTAATTAAATTACTACTAGATGGATGCCTTGTTTGTTAAAAAATAAACCCAAACCACAAACAAATCCCCCACATTCACAAAACTGTTCCAGTGCTGTAGCTGGAGAAAAAAAGTACAAAAGCCCAGATCTCCCAAAAGTGCCCTGTTCTCAATGATTTCACTACCTCTGAAGTTTCTCTGTGGCCTGCCTGCACATTGACTTACCCCTTCCAAGGCCACACTGGAGTGTGAATGCTTCACCTCTGGCATTCAGATGCTCCTTCAACTTGTGAGCAGACTAAGAGCAGTGTCTTGCCTTGTTTTCTCAAAAGAAACCTCTTTGTGACCAGTGTCATTGTGAGCTTGTTTTGGTCCAGCTCAAGTCAGTGCATGCACTTTAGTGCTTCAATAATCTCAGCAATCACACAAAAGTGCTGAGTTCCACAGAAATGCAGCAAAGTCCCTGGTGCTTCACTGTCTCCTGGAATATAACTGCCTGCAGAGCTCCCAGAGCAATCCTCCTGACAATGGCATTTGAAGCCAGTGGTAAGAACTCTGTTATTTTCCTTTGATGCTCTGTGCAGTTGCTACATCTACCTATTTCTGTTAGCTTTAGTGGACAACTTTTGAGAGCATTAACTTTTGTCATTATATTGCAAAGGTTCCATATTGTTGTGTCCTTATTGCAAGGGTTTCATACTTCCTTAATGTTTCTCGTAGGCAATTCCTCTAAGCACAGACTCCTTCTCACATTAGCCAACCAACTCCAGTTCCCCTCTCAACCAGCCAACCCACTCTTTTATAGTACTCTTCTCATTGGCTACAGCTGTGGCCTGTTAAAGTCAGGCCTGTTCCTAATCTCCAATAATTGGCTCAGCTGCAACTCCTTAGGGGTAAGATTACTTTCTATACTACCTTTATTTTCTTATATTCTATCTCCCTACAATTAACAGCCTATAAAAGTTTAAGTAATAAACTTTGAGTAGTTAACATTTACTAAAGTACATCAGTTTAAGGTAGCTTCAGTTTCCATCAGTCACCAACTGACGGTGGTAAATACAGCACCATGAAATCTGCATTTACACAGATTGTTCCATCACCCTCCAGCCATTTATCAAGCAGTCCCTACAGATAAGAAGCCGTGGGATACCATACCTGGTTAATGCACACGATGGGAGTCCTGAACCTGGTGCTCAAGCTGTGCAGCTGAGCCCCAAAGGCCTGCAGGTATCGAGCCTTCAGGGCAGCGTCAGCCGGGCCGAACTCGGCGCGGAACAGCGCGGCCATGGAGTCGATGAGCACGAGGCGCGCCATGCCCCGGGCCAGCAGCAGGGACAGCCTCCTTGTCAGGCACTGCTGGAACGTGTCCTGCCACACACACACACAGGGACAGTGACACAGGGCAAAGAGCCCTGCTGGACATCAGGAGACTGAGCTACAGCAACCACTGCACATGAGCTCAGGGAGTTCTGAATCATGAAGGCAGCTGGTAGATCTCTGAGTCTCACCAGTAACCACATCTGGTGGTTTTACTGAGGAACAGACAAAACTGCAACCTGCATTTACCTGCAGCTCTGACTTCACTGATACTTTTAAATCTCAAATGTGTGGCACTACACTCCTAAACTGATCTGTTTTCAGAGTTATTTAATGTTAAGGGGTTGGAATGGACCTTCAAAATCATCCAGTCCCAACCCCCTACCATGGGCAGGGACAGCTCCCACCACACCAGGTTGCTCAGAGCCACATCCATCCTGGCCTTAAACACTGCCCGAGATGGGGCATCCACAGTTTCTCTGAGCAACCTCTTCCAGTATCTCAACACCTCCACAGTAAAGAATTTCTTCCTAATATCTAAATTTCCCCTCTTTCAGTTTGTACCCTTGCCCTGTCCACATGTCCTGACAGAGAGTCCCTCTCCAGCCTCCCTGCAGCTTCTTCAGACACTGGAAGGCTCCTGTGAGGTCCCCATAGGAGCGACCTTTTCTTCTCCAGGCTGAACAGCCCCAACTTTCTCAGCCTACCTGGGGAAGGAGTGGTTCTCACTGAAACACTCAGGACATGAGACTATCTTAAAGTGTTCCAAACCAGTTACAAACTGTGCTGCTCTAATGACCTTAGCAGTAAAATACTGCCTCAAATCCACATTGATCAAGAGTCTTAGAAACATTCTTTGTGCTACTACTTACCAGGTCTGCTACCTGCTCAACAAAAATATTGTTTCCAAATCTGATCTTCTGTATGATTTCAGCTGGAACATCTGCACGCAGCTTGTGCTGTTGGTCTATGAGCTGCTGCAAACGTTTGCTTGGGAAAACATCTTCTGTACAAATGTAGACAGCTCCTGTAGCCAAGGAAACCACAGGGCTCTTACACACACAGTTTTCTTAACAGCACACATGTTATGGCAGACATTCTGCATTGAAAAGCTACACACACAGATTTGGAAATCCATGTTTGTTTGATTATTTTGTAACCATGTTGAATCAGTGATGAACAAAAACCCCACTTCTGTGACTCTCCTGCAGATGCCTGCTCCTTTCTTCAGCACCAGCTGGGACAACCGGATTTGTACTCACCACTGGGTGACACTCACTGTGCACAGCTGTGGAGCACCTGATCCCCTGCCCTTGGGATCAGGAGTATCACACTTTATCCAACCCACAGAGTGACACTGCACAGTCTGCCTGCTTCAGCCAGAAATCCAAACCACAGCATTAGGAATTTCATGCTAAAAACCTGTGCTAACTTGTGTTGAGACAACAGCTCCTAAGTAAAACTTTCTGGCCTTCTCAGCCACCATGCTTATTTAAGCTGACTGCCTTTTGCACAGTGTTGCTTTAATGCTGAAAAACAGGGATTTCTCTACTATGAATTGTGGGCTCACAGGGAAATCATCTGCTTTCTGAAAACCAGACCTGCCTTAAGCAGGAGGTCACTTGTCCTCTCCTTGGTTTACTTAAAAAGGGTGGAATGTCCATTTCTTCAGATTTCATAGTCACTGGGGTTCTTCCAGATGCAGATTTGCATTTCTAGATAGATTGATGCTCCATTGATTAAATAATTGTATTTTGATCCATAGTTATTGCAACATTCAGGACACTGAAAACACAGTCACAAGTCCAACAAAACCCAAACAGAAATCAGCAATTTCATCAAATCTGTTATTTAGGCCAATAAATGTGTTATGCTGGTCATTGACAAAAAAATACCAGCAAAAATCAACCAAACAGGAATAAAACCTACTAAAAACCCCCAACCTCAAAAAGAAAAAATTTTGCTTCCTATGATCATAATCTGTCAGGCACCAAACCAGTTTGTTAGCAAGAATCAGTAGCAAACATTATTTTCTAATTCAGAATTCTAATAAGGATATTAATTTGTTCCATTATATTCACATATTACTTATGAATATGGGCATATAAAATAAATTCAGCCAACACAACTGAACACAACTGACATTCCTAGAACAGCAGAAAGATATCCTGGAGGCAAAGGAGGCCTTTGTTTACTTTCAGCATTTCTTTGCTGCCAACCTCCTTGTCCTGAGAATTACAAACAAGACTAGCACTAAATTAAATGAAGTAACTGTTAAAAGAAATGTATTTCAACATCACCACTTGAGAAGAGAAGTTTCTAATCAGTAAAAAAATACAATGCAGGGAGGGATAATAATAATATAGAGATAATTTTAAATCAGTAGCAAAATCTTCCACTGGTAGTGCAGAGTTCTGTGAGAGTTTCTAAGCATTGCTGTTCTCCTCAAGTTTCCTAAAGGATAAAACTCCTCACATTTAACCTAAGCTGTAATTGCTGTATTTCTCACAGGAGGCTCAACACAAGAGTGCCAGTAGGGTGTTGGGCACCTTCCTTTGTTCCTTGATTTCAACACAAACAGGAAGAAGTGCTGGATCATGGATAAAAATGTATTTAAACTATGTGCAGCAGTGAGCTGCAGCACACAAAGGAACAGAACATAATATAAATCCTTCTGCTCTGATTAATGACATCATGTAATGTAAGCCATGGGCTACTCACAGCCCTTTAAGCAAGATGTCAATTTGTACAGTCCATGATTTTTCCACGTGGGTGGATATAGTTCAAGAAATGAGTAAGTTCCCCCACAAGAAGCCACTGAGCTGCCAGATAAAGCCAGTGCTGTGTGGAAGGAGCAGCAAGGCCACAGGCAAAACACACCTAAGGCAGACTACCAGAATTCTCAGAAGTGACACAGGCTTCCTCTCTTTCTATGGCAGCAATAGTAAAAAAAAAAAAAAATAAAAAAAAAAATTGGGAGTTAGATTAATATGACAGAAGGGTAAAAACACCATACTCAAATCAAAGAATAAACCTGTATACTTTGGTAAACCCAGGAAAATCACAGGTACAAAACAAGGTTACCTTTCTTCAATTATATTCCCATTGATTTTACTCTGTAAATCAGTACAACTATTGTTATCAAAACAAATAATCTTTGAAATTTGAAATCCCCAGCTAGGGAATATATACCATAGACCCAAGATGCTTGTAGAAAATTATCTGCTGAGCTGTTCTGCTGACCTGAGGAGCCAGTGAGCTCTCAGGACAGCACCACTTCTCTTACATTGTTTGAGAGTGTGTTGAGTTGAACCCAGAGTGGCAGACAGGCAAACAACAGCCAACAGGAGTTGTGAATTAAGTTAAGTTGTGCTGCAGGATGTGCACAGCTTTTCTCTCTGCAAACACACATTAGTCACTAACTGGCCTCCTGCTGAAGTTATTCATGCACTGGGCCTGTGCACCTGCCTGGATGAGGCTCCTGAGGACAGTGTATTCCCTCAGATGGGAACTGAAGCCAGGTTCAGTTCAGCACTTACCAGACTCTAAGCCACCATACTTGTAAGGGTACTGCACACACAGGCACAGCTGTAAACTAATCTGAGTCTTCCCAGCAGAACTCTCCCCAGCAAGCTCTGTGATTCCCACCAGAGGAATGCCTCCTTTTAGCAAGCTGTCCAGCACTGAACATCCCAGGCTCAGCTTCTGGTGCTGGGAGGTGAAATGATCTTTATCTTGGTAAAGCTGAAGTGCTGCAGGGTTTGGGAGTGGTTTTAATGATTAAAAAATAAAAAAAAAGAAAAAGGTAGTTTCATTTATTATTTTTCCAACACACAATGATACAAAATAGATGCTGTATACAAGGTTTATCCCTACAAGGGATGCTTGCTTTGTTGATGGAGAATTTCCCTAATTCAGCCTGCTCTTCCCCACCTCTCTCCCCATGAGACCTCTGCTGAGTATCTGTACAAAGATTGATAATTTACACTGAGTTCTTTCCTCCTCTCAAACTCTTTTTTTCCTTTCTCTGCCTTTAAGGTGTCCCTGAGGAAAATTACACTCTGAGAGGATTTTGACAGCAAAGGTTCAAGGTTCGAGCACAGCCATTATGGAAACAGAAGTAGCAGAGTACAAAACAGCACAGCAGGCATCTGGTCAAAGCCTGAAGACACATGCAATCACAAGAAAATAGGTTTTAAATACAGATTTGTCATTAAGAATTTGTGCAGAAGGAGCTATTAGGTCCTGCTTGTTTTGGAATGAGGTGTTTATGACAAAGCAGTTTATGAAGCTTTTAATATATGATATAAATTTTTCAACTAGTCTTAGTCCAAAAGGAGAATAGTGAGAGAGAGGAAGAGAGTGTGAAAGAAAAAGGAAATATTTTGTTCCTGTGTTTAAGTGTTTCAGACTGGAGAAATGCTTTGTCCTGTTTCAAGCAGGTTCAATCCTGAAAATGACACCCATTCACTTCCATTTACCCCCAGGGAGCTGTCCTTAGCATAGTTAAATCATTCACTACAGCACAATTAAAACACTTCTATTCTCATTTTAAACCCACATTCCTATGTCATTGAGGAGCCAGAACCACAATTTCTCCCAGTGATAGTTATTCTGAGCTTTAGATAGAAGAATTTTTATGCCCTGACTGCATTACCTGTGACCATGCTGCTCCTCCTCAGTGTGTGAGAGACTGTTCTCAGCAGGCACTGGATGTCTGCACTGGAGAGCTTCATCAACCTCTGCAAGTCTGCTCCAGACAGGTTTAAAATCTCTTTTACTGATTTTATGTCAGCTGAAACAAGAGGAATTGTTATAAATGGCTGTCTTACACAGCAAAGTTTTCCCAGTTTGTAATTCTCATTTACTTGGGGTTTTGTACGGTGGGCAGGCAACACTCATGTGGAATGTACCAACACAAGCTGTAAAATTGTTTGGAAATTTATTTTATTATTGAAGCATTGGCAAAACCCAACACTTCTAATTACTCAGAAAACTTCTTCATGAAATACTTAATTACAGTTCTAAAATGTAAGTGTTCATCTGCCTGCTTATACCCACAAACACACAATTATGTCAAGGATGTCACTGTGGTGACAGATCTGTTGGAGACAATGGCAAATTAAATTACCTTTTTTCAGGGCAGCAATTGTTTTAGGGTTCAAGTCAAACTGGTCCCAGTCCATCTCACACAGCACAGCAATGAGCAGCACATCCCATAATTATCTGTGATAATTATCTGTGATAAAAGATAATTATCTGTGATTAAAGTGGCTTTTATCATAGACACAGGCAAGAAAAAAATAGGCATAAATCAGTGTCAAAAGTTTCCAGAACTTTTTTTTTTCTTCCTATTTTTAACAATAGATTTATCAGTTATCTTAGAGTAGTAGCAATTATTCTGGGGTTATTATGTTATAATGAGAATTATTGCTATTATTATTATTTTATATATTGATATAATTTTACTTGGGAAGAGTGTGGCCAGCAGGCTGAGGGAGGTGATCCTCCCCCTCTATCAGCCCTAAGTGAGGCCACATCAGGAGTGCTGAGTTCAGTTCTGGGCTCCCCAGCACAAGAAACACAAGGAGCTACTGCAAAGGGGCCCAGCAGAGGCCACAAAGGTGATGAGGGGTCAGGAGCATCTCTCTGCTGAGGAGAGCCTGGAGAGGAGAAGACAGAGAGGGGATCCCATCAATGCGTATCACAATCCAAAGGTGGTGCCAAGAGGATGGAGCCACACTCTCTTCAGCTTCAGCTCAAGGTGAAGAAGAGCTCTGACACTGAGGGGGGCAGAGCACTGGAACAGCTGCCCAGGAAGGCCACAGGGACATTCCAAACCCACCTGGACCATTCCTGTGTCACTGCTTTGGGTGAGCCTGCCTGGGCTGGATCATCTCCAGAGCTCCCTTCCAACCTGGCTATTCTCTAATCCAGCCCTTTGGCAGAAGTCTTCCCTGATGGCTGTTTACATTTATCCTATTAAAGAATCCAACCAATAATGCTGCAGTTAAGAGCTCCTGCTAGTTTTAATTGCCTGTAATTCTGCATAGTGCTTTTGCTCTATGTGCAGCTCACAAGCAAGCTGGAGCATTTATTCCTGCCCTGTCACTCTTCACACGAGCCTTTCATTTTCTAAGAGAAAAAAATCTCACACTCGAGCAGTTTAGGATGACCCAGGATTATTCATGCATTGGACAGTCAAATATACATTTATTAGCTAAAAGAAAATTTAATATTAAATTGTTAAAATCTGTTTGTTTCTTGTAACGACCTTAAACAGTTTTTTAAATACTTTGGTACAAAACAAAAACAGTTTAGCCCCGTGGCTGCTTAGAAAGCACTGTGAGGTTGTAAGCATTATTCTGATATATTTATGAAGGATTGCAGCAGACAGCCGGTGGTTATATGAGCATACACGACTTTATGAACAATCCCTTTTTCAACATGGGGGGAGAGGTTGTGACGGGTGCAAATAACAGAATGAATCTAAAAGAGAGGCAAGTTACTTTTAAGTAACACCCATTTAAAGCAGCATTCTGAAAAAATTCAGAAGCCGAAACTTACCGACATCAATCATGGTTACGACGGCCCTCGACTGAAGGGCTCCAAACCATTGCTCCGCTCACAGGGAGCCGCTCCATGGATGAGGCCCAGGGGAGACCGAAACACCGGGAGCGGGCCACGGTGCAGCCAGGGGCGTCCCACGGGACCGACGGCGGCCGGGGGAGCGGGGGGCGGACAGCCGGACACACGGACAGCCGGACAGAGCACGGCGCCGCCACAGGGCCCTCACGCAGTCACGAATCTCCCGCCGCCCGTGCAGCCAATCAGCGAGCAGCCTGCCTGCCGCAGGCCAATCAGAGCTCCCTTCAGTGACTGCCCCGGCGGGACAGCCAATGGCAGGGCGCCGTTCCTTCCCCTCCCGCTGGGCCGGCCGGGAGCGGCGGGGCCGGGCTGGGCTGGGCTGGCTCAGAGCCTCGGGCGGGGGCTGGGGCCTCTCTGCGGAGCCGCCCTCTGCGGAGCCGCCCCTCGCGGCCGCGGCGGTCCGGGCTCGGTGTGCCGCTTCCTGGAACTCGGCGACGCGGCCCTTCGCTTCCGGGTTGCGGGGCACGAGGGAGGCGGGACTAACGCGCCGAGGGGAATAGGATTGGCTGGCAGCCCTGAGCTTGTGGGCGGGGCCGGAGAGCCGCTACTTTCCATTGGTTGGGTGCCGTGTCCGTCGCGCAGCGCCGCGCGGCCATTGGGCGGTGGCGCGGCCGTCCCTTGGCGGCGGCGGCGCGCGGGGGAAGATGTCGGGCGGCGACGCGAAGAAGCTGGTGCGCTCCCCCAGCGGGCTGCGCATGGTGCCCGAGCACCGCGCCGCCCGCAGCCCCTTCGGCCTGGACGAGCCGCCCTGGGTGCCCGACAAGGAGGTACCGCCGGCGGCAGGGGAGCCGCGCTTCCCTTCCCCTTGTTCCTTCCTCCCTTTCCCTCTCCTTTTTCACTTCCCTTGGGTTGATGGGTTAAAGGACGCAGGGACGGGGCTGTCACTCGCCCCTCAGCGCTGTGCGGCCCCGGCGCGAAAATTCGCGAGCGATTGGTGATGAAAAGTGTAGCGAATTGTGCAGTGTTGCTTTAAATGCGGATAAAGGTGGTTCTCGTTTAAAACTAAATTGCATAAATTATTGAAGCAATAGGGCTGAAGTAGAAGAGCCCTTCTGGCTCCCGGTGCGAGTATTCGTGGTGTTAAACAGCCATTGAACAGCTCCGTCTGTTTCAGTCAACTTTGCTTTAAATACTTACTAAGTAAACAACGTGATGGTGATATTTTTAATTTCGCGTAGCGAGAGTTGATTGTTGCCAGCCGCCGCACCCAGATGCACATACAACATAGAATCCATTGTCGGTTTATTTATTTATTGCCAGCGTTCTGTGGCGTGGACACACGCCAGTGCATTTAAATGTGAGCGGAATGAAGATTTATTTTAGCTGGGGCAGTGTGGGTTTCAGCCGGGGTCACCCCGCAGAGCGTTCCTGGGCAGATCCGGACGTGCTGGGTCTGTTCTGCATGGGAATACCGAGTGCTCCTCCTTCGGTGAGGAGTGGATAACAAAGCTTTTCCCACTGCCTCGCATCTCTTCAGGCAGAAAGTTCTGTGTAATTCAACTAAAGATTGTTTGGGGACTGTGGTAGGATCTATTTAAACTTGTTGGATATATAGAGGGAATTGAGCCTGTATATTTTAGATACATCAGTCTGATATAGTGTGCAGATCTATAGGCTGAGGGTGTTGAATTGTGACTGAATGTGCTCAGTGATATTTGCTATTGAGAGGAAGTGTGATAGAGGTAAATATTTAAAATGCATTTGTTTATGCAAGATTAAGACTATAAATTGTTATTTTGTGGTTAGTTATTTTACTAGATTTCTGGAAGTAAAATATTTTCTTACTAGAAAAAAATATTTTTACTAGATTTCTGGAAGTATGTTAGAGTTCTGACATCCCATTGGTTAACAATTGCCAAATAAGTTGCAAACTTTTGCCTTAAATAAAGCAGGTGTGTGATACATGGGGAAACTTATAAATCCCATGTTTTTGTTAAGAACAATTAAATTTAAAGATACAGGGTTACCTAGGCAATGAATTAGTTGAGATGCTTGCTCTTGGTACCATGTCAGACATAATTAAAAATGAAGGGTCTATGTCCAAGACAAGACCTTGAGTGGTATTAGCAAATTCTGGTCTGGCTTTTCAAATCCATTGGCTTTTGCTGTGCAGCCAGTAACACTCATTTCTAATGCAAGAAGAGTCAACTGGCTTATTTTGTTAAATTAAGGCCACTTAAGAATTATGGCAGTTGGTAGTTTTGTTGGTAGTTTGCAGCTTATACAGCATTGAAATGTAATTAAGTTTTAAATTTTATTAATCACAAGATTATACAGTCTTAAACTATCAGTAACTATGAGGAATCTGAAATGCAAGGCTGGAGCAGGACTGCTGAAAAGTTTACTTTTTAAAGTAATCTTATTTGTAGCAGAGGTAATGAGTTGAGGGGGATTTATGAAAGTCTCTGCTGAGCATCATTACACTCAGGACAGAGCTTAGAATGTTGGTCTCTGCATGTGCCTTGTCTGACTCAGAATTTCTTTGTTGATCACCAGCAGAGCTCAATTGATGATATTTCTGTTAAGGAAACCTTGGACTAGAAATGGAGTGAGATGTGTCAGTTTGCCTGCAGAGGTGGCCAGCCCTTGTGCTACCCAGCTGTGCACCAGATGTTTCTGTGGCTGAGGAGCACTGTGTGCTGCAGAGGAGCTGACAGCTGTGCTGGGAGGGTTCCCTCCCTGGCTGCAGGAGGGAGCTGAGCCCTCCTGGCCAAGCCAGGCTCAGGCAGTGTCAGGGCACCTGAGCTCTGCCTGCCCTGGCTTTGCATCCTGCGCTTTCCCCCTCTGGCCAGGTGTGCTCCAGGTGGGATGTCCTGGACTTCCTCCTTTGCAGAGGTTCCCTGTGTTAGGGAGCTCAGCCAGGGGTTCCCATGCATCCCTTCTTGAATCACTCTGTTATTATTTATGCAAATAAAGCATGTGAAGTGTAACTATAGATTCCTGGCCATCCATGGGATTCTCACCTCTGGCTGGATCTGTGGGATTATGGAAATAAGTTCTCACACTTGAGCCAACCCATGACAAGTTTGCAATGAACCAGCTCTTGGTATTTTTAAATTAATGCCAAGATCCAACAGCTGTTGGATGTTCTTCCCTTTTCCTCTTTCTAGATAAAGTAATCTGGTCCTGGCATTGGTGCTTGACTGCACATGAAATGAATGTACTTCTGACATGAATTCTTACTTAATTTCTTGCTTCACATCTTTTTATTTGAAGACATGAGAAGTAACTTGGACACTGTGCTTCCTTCTCTGTTAATGTGATAAAACCCCTCCAAGCAATGAAACTTAATTAAAATCTAGTCACTCTCTGATTATGTCAGTGCATGGATGAATAGGAAAAATTCACCTTTCAAGATGTTCTCAATAAATAACTTGTCCCAGGCAAAGCAGAAATAAAGCAGAAAGCAAATAATTCACTCCATTCTGGTTACTTAAAGCAGAAATACCTTGAAGGAACAGTATCTTGAGCTTGCTTGTGTCAGAACATTTTCCTAAGAAAATCCCATTTTGCAATGCCAGCTACCCTGTGCTACTTGACTTGTGATTTATTTAGGACTGCTGTTTATATCAGGCAGGGCAATCATCATGGGTCTGGAATTCAGAAATATTTTTCTATAGTTTGTGTTAAATAAGAGGATGGATAATCTTGTTCCTTCCTAAAAATCACTTTTATGTTTAGCATAGCATTCTGTATGAAATCTATGTAGAACAGTTAGAAGAGTTTGGGTTTAATTTTTTCCCCCCTCTAGCTTGTGACTTGTGCTTTCTGCATTTTGGCAAAAAACAAACAAACAAAAACCCCCAAAACCTAACCCCCCTGAAAACCCAGTCCAGGTGAACTAAAAAAGCCCCACCACCACCAAAACTCAACCAAAAAGCTCCCAAATATTTTCATCAAGAAAATTAATTAGAACTCAGGTAAATTGAAGGCATACCAAAATTATTGCCAGGTCCAGCTCCCAGGCAAGCTGTTAAACTCCATGTCAAAAATTAAAACCAGGTAGAGCAGAACATGACATTGGCTGTGGAGTTCTGCTTGTTACAGAGGTGAAACCTGGTGTATGCTGGAATTGCTTCATGCTGCCATTATTTATCAGTGAGTGTTGAAACAACCTTTTCTGTAGCCATTGTGAAAAAGATGTGTTTGGATGCCTCAGTTCAGTGTTAGTTAAAACAATTCAGGAACACTTCCAGTGCTCTTCTGTGTGGGATTTAGAAACAGCTTCTTGTAACAAATTCTGCAAGTAGGTGTTTACCTTCCACTACAGTGACTGCCATTACTGTCTAATGTGTTAATGTCTGTTTAGACAGAAGAGCCTTTCATATAAACTATTACCAATTATTAACAAGCTTACACTTCAAAAGGACATGAAAAATTTCTGGAGAATTTTTAATTTAGCTGCTGTAATATTTTCTTGGCTGCAGCTGTTGAACTTGTGACAGTGATTATCTGCAGGAGCAAAAGTCCCTGAATAGAAGCTGTTGTAACCTGAGGGGATTTATAGAAGGAAAAGGGTTAAGTATTGAAATATGTTAATTAAAGGCAAAGGGTGATTACTGTGTGCTTAGCAAATAGCACCTGCTCAGGTCAGGGCATGTGGTGAAGAGGATACTCTGCTGTAGCCTGAGATAGTCTGGTTTGAGGAATTTCAGTTTCTGGAGTTATATAACCTAGTACAGGATCTAACCACGTTCTTGTGAGTAAGTTGTCAGGCATAATTTTGCATTAATATTTGCTAGTAAATAAAGCAAAAATTGCATTATAATAAGCCTCAGACACTGGGGCTTGATATGGTAGATAAAAAGATGTAAGGTTTTGTTGAAAATCCAGTGACCTAAGGGTTGAGAATCAACCCTTTCATAGGTAACTTTCTACACAGAAAATTTTGACTGTCCAGCAGTCACTGATCTCTTCTGGTTGTTAACACAGTCAGAGCTGTCACCCCTTAAACTCTACTTAGTTGGAAGGGAGAAACTCCTTCAATTTTTTTCTGTCATTTTTTTTGAAAGGAGTGTGGGTGTAAGTTTGTTTTAGGAAAGAGATATTTCAGGAAGTGACTTTTTGTAGCTGGAATAAGCATTAGGTCTTGGTGGCTTGGAAGAAAACCAAGTATCTCTTAGCATGTTTCAAAAATGTGTGAGTATTGAGAGCATTAAATTGTGTAAACAATGTTTTGGCAAGTCAGCAGAGCATGGTAGTAAAGTGAGGACAACTTAGAGAAAACCAGTTGACTCTGGAATATGGGACTGTGTAGATAGCCAAACATTATCAAGAATGGTAAATAATTCTGAGATGTTCTTTTGCCTGCTGGCAGGATGCACTGTTCATTAGGGGGAAGTTTGGCAGGTTTTTTTTTTTGTCTTGCAAATGGAGATGGCATTATTTTGCTACATCAGTATTAAATGAAAGCTATTCATGGTGAAAAGATAAGGGATGGAAATTTGTTGGAGGTGTTTCTTTATGGGGCATAATATGAAGCTCGTTCTTTGTGTATGGTGGTAGAATTAAAGGTTTAAAAAGATTGTAGACTAATCTTAATTTCTACTGTTTTCTAGTGCCCGAGATGTATGCAGTGTGATACAAAATTTGACTTCATAACTAGAAAGGTAAGATAAATTAATGAAATATGAAGCAGTAAGTGTTGTAAAATACTAAAATTGACATATTTTGAAAAGTAAACCAGGATTTGTCTTGAGTTTGGAAGAGAGAAATTCCAATTAAAGTAGAAAGTGTAAACTACATAATTAGGCTCACTGGATGAAGAGAAAACACTAACATTACATTCTGTTTATTTATGGTAAGAGGTCACTGGAATGCTGACTGGTGTGCAGAATATGACATGGAGAATTCTACAAAACACCCTTCCAAAGAAGGCCAGCAGTGATTTTTAGGAGGGAACATCATTCCTGTGTGTAATTCCATTGACACTTTGTTAGCACAGGCTTACAAAAGGGAAGAAAGATGTGAAAGTGTGACTTGTAGTGCAGTGACATAGTTCATGTTTTTTAATTTAATTGTTTGATGGGAGAGGGAAGGAGAAATTTTAAGCCAGACACACTCACATGTTATACCAGATGACAAGCTGCTGTGTTTCCCTTGTGTTAGCTGTGGGAAGCAATTGGAGGTAGCCCTGGGAAATAGGTACTCCAGAGAATTTTGCAGAGCATTTGGAAGGAAAGCCTAACACTGACCAAAAGTGCAGTGTTATCAGTTCCTTGTATCAAACTTTCAGGCTTGCTTTGAGCCACAGATGAGTTCCTGCTTGCCTGGGAGTACTTGTTCTGTCAGGAGAACTTGCATCAGGAAGATCTGCTGGCACTGTCACACCCCTGATCTGGAGCACAGGCCACTGGTTGCAGATTTAGGGGCTGTGAAACACACTGCAATACTCGGTCTGGTTTCACAACTTCACTGGATTTGTGCTGTGCTGCCTGATACTCCTGATAAATGGAATAGCTTTAGGTTCTAAGTATGAAGATTCTTATATTTTTCCCATGGGAAGAAGAGAATAAGTTTTAAAAGAGAATAATAGTATTTTCAGTTGAAGAAGAATAGAAACTTCAGTTGAAGTTCTCCAAGATCTTTTGTCAGAAGTGAGAAGGGACCTGGAAACCGCTCTTCTCATGGGTGTTTATTGACAGGGAGGTGAAGGATTTCCTGGACACCAGAGAAGCCCTTTCCAGTATTTTCTGCTCCAGAAGCATCTTTAGAGAGTGCCAGCAAAGGCTTAGAGTGCTGCTGTTTATATTATACTCAATCCTTTGTGTCCCACCTTCAGAGATTCCTGTAACAGTTAATTTCTTCTACCTGTCCCTCAGCTTGCATGTTTCACACCTGAGAAACTTGCAGTAACCTCTTAGTTTCCTTAGTAAATAAGTAAAGGAGGTGTTCTCTCGTGCTTTTAGCATCACTGCAGAAGGTGTGGGAAGTGTTTCTGTGACAAGTGCTGCAGTAAGAAAGTGCCTCTGCCTCGCATGTGCTTCGTGGACCCCGTGCGGCAGTGCGCCGAGTGCGCCCTGGTGTCACAGAAGGAGACAGAGTTCTACGACAAACAGCTCAAAGTGCTCATGAATGGTAAGCACCCAGGGCTCCTGGTTGTGTTTATTCAAATTCCAGTGAACAGCAAGAGCAGTGCTTCTTGTCCAACAAGCTGTGGTTTTGTTTCCTCTTTGTCGCTCCTCTTGTTTTGCAGTTGATGATTTTGTGTTAGGGGTTTATTTAGAGAGAGGTTCACACCTCATAGTCAGTGTTTGCACCTCTCAGCTTGTACTTCTTGGTCTTGACAAAGAGTGATTTAATTAAAGACTAATTCTTAATACCTGTGAGAACAGATGAAAATGCAGTTTGCATTTTCCTTGAAATAATGCATCTTTTAACCATATTCCTGTTACATTAAATAAGGATGAAAAATACTTGAGAGAATATTTTAACATTTTCAAACAAGATACAGTACTTGTTTCAAGCTTCATCTGAGAGCTTTGATCTTGTCCATGGCCTACAGCTGTGGTTGATGGCAGATCATCATGAGTACTCAATTTTCCATAGGTTTAAACCTTCACAATACAGTAATTCATGTTCCAATTACATTAAGAAAGTTGAAACTTCGGTTTTTAAAATAGTCTGTGATCCTTCAGTGCCTTTTGATGATCTCTCAGCATGATGCCTGTGTGCATAATGGGTGAGCTAAGCCCCATATGTGATGGGAAAGGATGTTGTTCCTGGGGAGATCTGGCTTCAGAAGGGAGTGTGCTCATCCTGGAGCACATAAATCATTCTTCACTCTGCTTTACCATGAGGGCGTAGACGAGTTTTTAAATCACATCTTTTAAACAGAGGAGGTTTTTTTAAAGCTTGTCCTGTTTGCTTTCATGTTGTGAAGTTGTTTCTGACTTGCTGTAGAGCCACAGATGGTGGTCAGAGAGGTGGTGGTGGTGGCTGTAATGTCCTTCTCCAGCCTTGGTGCTGCTGTCTCTGTCTCACTTCAGCAGCACAGGCTCTGTGCTGGGGGTCAGTGAGCCTGGGTGAACTGGCAAGTAAGGAGGTGAAACTCCAGGGCTGCATGGTTCAGGTTATGGGGATGGATTGCAGACCATTGGGCAGGGCTGGATGTTATTTTCTTCACTTCCCAGGCCAGCAGTATTGGGATTGGGTAATACAGGGAACATGAGGCATGGAGGAAGCAAAGGGGTCGGGCGTGTAGGGCTGCTTGGAGCTCTGAGTCACTTCTCCAGTGTAGCAACAGTGACCTTCCCCTTGCCAAAGCAGTTTTCAGGGGGAAGAATCAACATGAAAGCTGAAGTTCATTGACCTCACAATAAGACTGAGCCAGCCTTCAGTAATGAAAAAGAGATGTCTTTACAGTTTCTTAAGCATAGAATTGAAGGTCACATCATGCTATTAAATTGGTTTTTTTAATACAGAAACAATCATTTGTGTTACAGTGATGACAGAGGGTCTTTAATTGCCTGTCTTTGCCACCTCCAAATCTCTTCTCATTTTTAAAAGCTTCCTCTTGGATATCATCTGCATTTCTACACATGGGAGAAATTGCATAGCATGTGTGAAAGGTCCTGTAAGTCAGAACATGATAATTAAAGATCAGCTTTTTATACTTGAGTGTTTTGTGATGTTAATCAGTTTAATATTTCAGTTATTCTCTTATTTCACTCAATTCAGTGTATTAGTAAGTCAAAGTTAGCTGTTCTTTCTGATACTTGAATGTTGCTTCTTGAATTCTGTATTAGAATACTAAACCATTTCTTTCCAGGTGCTACATTCTTTGTAACTCTGGGAACATCTGATAAATCTGAGCTCATGGTTTGTCGACTTTCCAACAACCAGAGGTGAGAAAGATTTATAGAAACTGCACTTGTAAACTATAGCATTGTTGTACTTACAGCTCTATTCTTACATAACTTAAAAAAAATATGAGAGTAACATGCCCTGAGGTTATTGGAGAGAGTAATCAGACTGAAAGGGTAGATCCAACAATACTGGAATGTTTGCTTGAATTTACTAACAGTGTGGATCAGAATGTCTTGGAAGGGTGAAATTTCAATGAAAAGTAACATTTTCTACTTGATTTCTATCCCTCCTCACCCCAAAGAACAGATAAACAATGTCACTGAGAGATTGTTTAATTTTTTTCCTCTGGTTTGGACTTGATATTGTTGAAAAAAAAAGTTAAAAAACTCTTTTTCTTCTATTATGTAGATACCTGGTTTTGGATGGAGACAGCCATTATGAAATTGAAATTATACAGATTTCAACTGTTCAGATACTTACAGAGGGATTTACTCCTGGAGGTAATTTTTTCTTTTAATATAAATGAACTGTTAAGAAAAAAAAATGAAGCTGCAGTTATTGAGCTAGACAATGCAGTCAGTGTGTAACTGTGCTGGTTACAGCTGCTCTCAGAATGTCCCATGTGGCTGCTGGGATTTGGGGGAACACTTAAAGATGGAGAAGTTCCCCTACAGCCTTAATGTGGGAGAGCCTCTTGATAAACCTGAGTGAAGGTGGTTGTCACCTGTTCTCTTGGGTATGTACAAATATTTACTGATTTAAGAGCTCATAGGAGGGAACTGTTAGTCTTTGGTAGCTTCCATTTCAGAATCCAGCTGAGATTTTGCCTTGACTGGTTCAAACATTGTTAACAGAATGAAGTGGGGGAGGGAGAGTAAATAATTCAACTATCTTTTCTTCATTTCATTCAAGACAAAGGGGTGGCCAAATGAAACTGGTAACATCTAAATTGGAGTGCAGCAACTTACTGCCCCATCTCTTACCAGATTTTAGAGTTTTTCAGGATGAACCTGAATATGAATTGACTGAAATGAGAACAAACAAGGTCAGGAATTTCAATAATTGTTCTTTATCAGCACTTCTGTCACTGCTGGGTTTTTCTAATTGCACAGCCCATCTGTGCATTATTCAGTCAGTACAGCATGTTAACTTGAATAAACTTACCTTGGTTTTTAAATCACCCAGGTATATTGCTGAGCCACTTAATGCTCCTGTAACTCTTTGTTCACTACCCTTCTGATTGCTTTATCTCTTTTCTGCCTGCCTTCCTTGTTGATGGTAGAAAAAGATATTCACACTTACACCAGCCTCCTGGAGAGCCAGCCTGTTACTGAAGGTATCTGCAGTGCCTTTCAGCATGACTCACCCAAGCATGTCATGGCCCCCTCACCTCTTTCTCCTCTGCAGTGCTGATTATTTGCTTGATCCATAATTGCTGCTCAACCTGAGTTATGTTCGAGTCTGACATGTATCTGTTCCTTCCCATATGTCTGTTTAATAAACCAAGAGTGAATGTTTTGTAACACTCTGGAGGAGAACTAAAGTACTCAAGGTGTTCTTTAGACCAAAGTGCTGTTGTCCATGCTGGGAGAAGGGGAGATGAGAAGTGCTATCTGCAGTAGTACATAATGTTACAGATATCTGCTTGGCAGGTTGCTGAATTGAGCATACTAGAAATGAATATACTCCCTGTGTGCCGTCTGGAAAGGCTTTGCACTGAAACTGTTAATTATTGGCTTGCTTTTACACAACTTTAAAAGAAAGGCCTCTTTGTTGTGCAGGGTGTGTTCTGTCTTAGTAATGCCAGACATGGGCAAACTGGTCAAGGTTGTAGGTGTGTGATTTCCCCTGGTTTATCTTTCAGTAGACCCTTAATCCATTGTTCTGACCATAGGTGCAGAGAAGCAATTGATGAAGTTGAATTTCCATTTATCCTAGGAGAGTAGAAAATAGCTCTTTTATAAACCCTGCTGTGGGCTTCTGATTGCGTTGGCTGCATTAACAGCACTAACTAGATTGAGTTTGGCTTAGATTGTGATTTGTTTTGGCTCCTCAGATATTGCAGTAACAGCCTCCAGGAGCCCTCTCATGCAGACACTTCTAAAAAGAGCTTTGTAAGAAGTGTCCTCTGTATGCTAGTGCTGTTCCTAGAGCTTAGTTTATGCTCCACTGCTGCAGGAAGTCATGACAGTAATTGTCATTCTAAAAGTTCTCATTAAATGTCTGTATTTTTGCTTTGGTTTATCTTCATCTCTGCAGCCTCAGGAAGAGAGATACAAACACACCTCGCTTATCATGCTGTTGGCAGAGCAGCATTTTTGGCACCAGTTTCCTTCAGGAAGTAAATGATGTTGCCAGCTGTTCTCTAGCCTTATGTAAGCATCATTCCAACCTTTGCCAGGTTTGGAGGGACTGCTGCCTGCTGTGTCAGACTGTATCCAGCAGGACCCTGCTTTGCCATCAGTTTGATTGGACCCTAGGCCTACAGACTGCAGGCTACTGTATGAAACTGTGGTAACAGTGTCTTAACATGGTGCTGGTAAATCATGAGGGTGTTCCAGGTGTGTGGCTTTACCTGAAGGCTGATGCAGGTTCTGCCTTGGTGCTTGGCAGAGAGACTGAAGCAATATGAGGCTGCAGGTTCCACTGCTGGCACTACAAGCTGTGGTCATGAGCTCCTCAGATCCAGCAGCTGCTTGTGCTCTGAACTGAGCAATGAGCACATTTCTCCAAACATACTCATGAGCTGGAAAATGTTGTGTTACTTAGCTGGTAAAACCTACTGCTGTTCCAGATGTTGTTTCTCCTTTCAGGAGGCAACACTCGTGCCATAGGAATGATCCTGCAGTACAAGGTACCGGGGTCGGAGGAGGTGATGCAGATGAAGTTTACTGCTGGTGAAGACTTCAGCTGTAACAAGAAGCTGTCAGCAGCCTGGCTGGCAGCTATGCATAAGGTAAGCAAAGCAGCCAAAACTTAGATAAGGCTGAAGAAAATCTTTACCTAGGGTGTTCAGCAGCACCACAGAGAGCATTCAGCCTTAGGAGTATTTCTATTATTTTTTTATCAAGGACTTCAGGGCCTTGTTGCTTAGAAAACAGAAGCTATGGCTGGGTGTAATGAACATGACTTTAGCTTTCTGCTCAGAGACTGAAGAATTTATGTACTCTGAAGGATCTTCCAAGATCTTATATATGTTATTAGATGAAAAGAACTAAGAATTTAGCTTTAAACTTCCTTGGATTTTGTTACTGGCTAAAGAATGTGCACTATGAAATACTCGTTTGACCCTAAGTTCAGCTAATTATTTTTACTGCTTCATGAAGGTTCAAAGAAGTTGTTGATTTTTGGAAATGGAAGAGTTTGATCTTTGGAGCTAGGCCTTGCATGGGTAATGAAACTGAACGTTCATATTTGCTAAATCAAAGTTATGGTGGGAAAAAACCAAGGCCACTCTCCAATCAGTCACCTGATCAGTTGCTGATCAGAACTGTCATTTATAATGTGTATGGGCAGGTTTGTGGCTCTTTGCTGCTTTATTGCCATTTTAGAACTCCCCAGATGCCCCTACCCCAGCCTTTACTCTGCTCAGCACCGTGTGCTCAAACTTCTATCATTGTGCAAGTGCATTCAGCACTTCCTCAATGCTAGTAAAGGCCTCAGATGGAGGAAAAGGAAGAATTTAAAGCCCTGGATTTAAAGGAGGTTTTTGGAGGGGTGGGAAGTAGATAAGGTGGCTGCAAGTGAACCTTTAGTTAACATTTTCCCTTTCTGTTAGGCAACAAAACTTCTCTATGAGTCTCGGGACCAGTGAGAACTGCAGCTGTGGCCTCCTGAGGGCACCCACAGACACCAGCCTCCACAGACCTGCCTCTCACTTTGTGCTGATTTGACAGCTGGAAATATTTGCTGTTCTTGACTCTCTCATTCCAGCGTGGTTCATTATGTAAGAACTGGCAAATGCAATGTGAGTATTTTTTGGAACCATGAGTATTCACGGTAGTGTGCAATATGTATACAGTTAATGCTTTAAACAGCCTCACCTTTTAAGACTTTGTATATTTTGTTAAGCCTTTACTGGCACTTAATATGAAAGTGACCTGCACTACAGCTAATGTACAGCACAACTTTTATAGTAACCATTATATATACTGTTTGCTACAGGAAGCAAACAAATGTGTATGTCTCTTCTGCAGAGAATAGCTTTTGGGTATAGATCTCAGGTTTTTCCCTCTATCCAAATGTTTAAAATCAATGTACAAAAAAAAAATCTGCCTTAGATATGATTTTATAGAAATCACGTGAGTTTTTTTAAACATTTAATTTTAAACATCTAAATTTTTCACCGAATACCACCAAATTTGACTTGTATGAACTTGACCGTGAAACTTCACTTCTGTAATAAGCTTCCAGAATAATTTTTAGTTTTGTATTTTCTTTTTTGGTAACGAGCTTTTGTTAATCTAACTGTAATGCTATCTGAAATTGTATACAATTTAATGTACAAATATGAATAAATTAATTCACTTATTTAAAAAAAGAGGTGTTATTTAATTTTGTAATATACAACTTCTTTAATAATGGCCACCATGGTCTCTGAACTGTGAAATTTTTCACTTTTTCTAAAGAAAACACTAATTTTAGTTCTAAGTTAACTTTTCCCAGTTGGAATACTGGGATACTAGTGTGTAAGCACATCTTCAGTGAAGCTGATAAAACAAGGAGGAAAGGTGGGTTGACAGCTGTAACCTTGGCAAGCTACAATTAGTGTTTTCATGCAGACTCTGACCAAAGCCACATCTGCTGTCGAGACCTCTATAAAGAGAGTGGAGAATGCAGCCATGCCTTAGCAGTACTTTATTGTGCACATTTACATGTTCTCTGAATTAGTGTATCATAGGCTCTTGAAATCATCACATTCATGTAGCAAATTCTTCAACAATAATACCCTTTCACTTTTCACCACAATATATACAGTTAATGCTGACCTGTGGTAAAAGCAAGTTACAGCACTGCAGAAATGGATATATAAATTATACACAGAACTTGTACATGAAGAGTTAATCAAATTGCATACTGTTAAATGGGAGAAAATTACAAGAAATATGGCTAAAACTTATAACGGGAAATTCAAAATATGCTTTTGGTATATAAAATAATGTACAATTAAAATTCCAGTGAAGTGCCTGTTTGTGGGGTTTTTCTTTTTTGCTTGAAACTACAATGTAGTGGAATAGGTTATTGCATAACTTGCCTTGGCAGCAGTTGTAGGCTGCCAAGAACCACAGAAACTGTCCTCAAATAAGCTATTGCCTTTCTTAAATCCTTCTCTAAACCTTGTTTCTTTCTTCTCCTCGACTTGGCATCTACACGACCCTCTTTCTCTACTTCTATCCAGTCCTTCATATTTTCTTCTAGACTGACTCAGGCAGACTTCAGGTGACACAGTATAACCCTTACCAGACTCTTACCCTTTTCAACTATTGCACTTTCATCCCTGCAGACATACAAATCCCTTAAGCTGCTGCAACTTCAGTACTAACTGTTGTGTCCAGGCTGGATGAGCTCGGGGGGTTAGTAGGGGAACCTTTACATTCGTAGAGGTAACACCGGTGCTGTAAGCTGAATAATAAGAAAATAAAACACCAAGTGAAATATTGTGTAGGGACTTTGAGAAGTGTACAAATACTGTTGGTTTTTGTTAGTTCTCTAGCTTGATTCTAAATGCAAATACTGCAAGATGCTAGACTAGGTAAAGCTTTCGTTGGGTTGTCCAGACTAGGATTTAAGTGTTTACCATGTTGCCACCTAAAATCCCAGCCTTCACCAAGCTTTGGTAACTACTTAATTATGCATGTAACAGGTGAAGATCTTGTGTCCTAGAACCCAAAGAGTTGATCGGTAATGAGAACTCAACATTCACTGGTATGGAACAGAAATACCCAAAATCCCGACATGGGACAGTTGCTGTGGGGGGTTGGAGCAAACTGGACAGTGCATCTGCACTCTGCAAATGACACCTCTGAACATGGAACACAAGGAAGCTCCTACCACAGAACTCTGGCTGAAAACACCGTGTGAGACGAGAGCTGGCGCAGCACTGGCGGCAGCGGAGGCATCGCTCTCCTCCTCAGTGCTGGTCACACAAACAATCCTCGTTTACAAACTGCAGATCTTGGAAATCATGGATGCTGTCCATTTAACAAGAGAAAGCACCATTAAAACTAAATATCATAGTTTTATTTCTCTGTGTGAAATGACCAAAAATGATGGCTCCAGTGTATGTTCTAAGTTTCCAGTTACCAGCATGGTACTGCACTGTTGTACAACTGAATTCAAGCAAGGGTTCGCTGTCGAGGTTTTATTCGTGGATATAACTAAAAAAAACAGAATAACAGTATTAGGCTTTGCATGATTAATACAAACTTAAATAATTTATAACTAAAGGGGTATTTTAGGCAAAACTTATTAGGCAGAACTGGGATGATGTTTTGGGGGGTGAGGTTTTTGTAAGCTTGAGAGTGTTCTTAGGCCACTCCTGAAAAACAAGAAGCAGGAGGAAAAGGGCTGATTTACTCCTGCCAATGGCAGCAAGATGGCTGCTCTGAAAATGACATGGTGCATTTAGCTAAAGATCCAGAACAGACAAAGGATGCTTTTACATAAGTACAAAAATTCCCTGTTGAGCACTCCAGAGAGCTTATTTCCTGCTCTGCAAGGTTCTCTTATGCATTTTGTCCTCAGTAGCTCTCTACTTAGTCACCTTACATTCCTGGCCTCTCTCCTGACAGTGTTCCATCTGTCTGAGCAGCATAAACAATGTGCCCACAGTTGACATCTTCAAGGCTCTTTTGTGTTTTAAACTCACACACACCTATGTTCTTATCTTGTGCCAGGTATTAAAAACCTTCCCAAAGAACTTTCTGGAGCAAGTCTTCAAGCTGCCTAATAGAACCACCATATTTTCCATAAGGGCTCTATATTTTAGCCAAGGAGGAGAAAAAAGTCTCATTAAAGCATAAACTATATTAAATATACTAACTTGCTCAATGACAACCAGCACCAGTCTAACAGTAGCCTCTCCTGTTTGTTTACAATGGCACAGAGGCCAGAGAGAATAATCTGCTTTACACCACTTCATAGTGCTGTGGATGGTGCACAGAGGGATTCTGACTAAAGATCCATCTTTTGTTCTACTTCACGTGCAGGTGACACATAGAAGGGAGAGGTAAAAGAACTTACCCCGAGGAGGTTTTTGGGCACATAGCCTTCCTTGTCATTGAGGCGGGCCCACCACCACTCCGTTTCATTGTCATCCTTGCGCCTCAGGATAGTGATGGCATCGCCCTCGTGGAATGACAGCTCGTCGTTGTTCTGGGCTTCATAATCCCACAGAGCATACACCACCCCTTTATTCATCACTCCCAGCTTCTCCTGCACTCCTGTTAACAACACCAGATGGTAAAATAGCCTCTTTTGTTCCTCTGAGATTCTTACTATTGACACAGTGGCCCTAATATTAGTTTCCCATTAATAACATTTCATGAACAGTTTTCAGAACTTCCATGATGAATGCTGTCAGAAATTTAACTGCATGATAAAACAAAATCTTAGAGAATGAGGTTTCTTTCTTTTATTATATGTGCAGTGGAAACTGCTTCCTACAGCAGGCCTTGTACAGGGACACTTGAGGCTTTCAGAACTCACACAATATCAGATCTGACAGAGCCTTAATGAAGCTTAAATCCTCTGATGGACATTAAAAATTTGTGTGCTCCATTGAAGTTCTTTTCTTGCAAAATATATTCTAGTAACTAAGCACTCCTGTAAATTAATTATTCATGAAGCTTATATCTTTCTTTGTGTGATCTGCTAGAAATTTGGGTATAAATCTCAGGTGATGATAGATAGCTCTGAATTTCAGCATAGGGATGAAAATCAGAGCACAGCACCACTACACAGAAACACGCTGCCTTGTCAAAATGCCTTGGAAACACCAACTCTTAATATAATTTTATGGGAAATAAAAGGCTGCTCCTACTACTAGAATTCAGTTGACAGCCTGTGCATCAGGAAGTTAGGAGTCTCTCTGTCAAAACACTTTCCAACTCACTGTTAAGGTCAAAACCTCCCTGTAGAAGCATTTCCTGAAATGAAGCCAAATTAAAACTTTAAAAATCTTAACATTTGAAGGAGCCTGTGAAGTAATTCAAAACCCAGAAGGACTAAGACCAACATCACAGTGAAAAGGTGATGCTGGTTTTAGCACTTTGAAAGCACAGGGACATGATGGGCCATATCATCCAGTCTGGGGCCTAAGCAGATGTTTCACACAGATCAGAGGCATAAACCAGGATGAATCTTAAGAAAGAGTTGGTGTCACAGCTTACCGTACAAAAACTGGGAACACTGAATATAACCTTCTTCCATCTCCTCACACTTGTCTGCAGCAGTTTCTATATCACTTATAGTTGAAGCAAAAATAGCTGCCCCAGATTCAACCAGTAGTTTACAGAGATGAACACTATTGCAAGAAGCTGCACAATGCAAGGGTGTCCTGAAATAAAGCAAAAAAATGTACATGTGAAAAAAGAAGTTTCCATGAATCCTAACTTTCATCTTACCCTTTAGAGCCTGTCTGTTTTAAAAGGAAATTTTTCTTTATGTTTAAAGGATGTGTATGCATTGTCTAAAACCTGTCAAACAGCTAGGGTGGATTTCAGGATTTACCTGACTCCAGCAAAGCCAAGCATTATGAAACAGATGATAGCAAAACTAATAATTTTCACAGCTTAAAAGCTGTTGGGTGTGAAAGGGTATTTTCCAGTACAAGCAAACCTGAAAGGTAAAACAAAGTTGAGGATTCAAAAAGACTTCAGGAATGCTACAGCTACCTGTAAGGTGAGATTGTTCAAGAACACCAACATCTGTAGTGGTATCTTTGATGAAGAAACTTAAGCAAAACAACTTTTATCATTTGTTATTTACAGTTTAATTATTTCAGCATCTGAACAAGAAATGCAACTCTACCACTAATTATCACAAATGCTAATCTAATTTATGGTTTAAGTGTGCTTGCTTGGGAGCTGAACACGCTATAACCTTGCATTTGAATTTATCTCCACCTACAGCTTAGAGAGTACTCATTTGATGGGGATAAAGAGGAAGGAAATTGTTCCCAAAACAGGCTTCAATTAAATTTTGAATGTGCATCTACATGGTACTTCTCCCAGATACTAGGTTAAAAATCTTGACACTTACCAGCCATCACTGTCTGCTGCATTTACATTGACACCAAAATCGAGCAGGAACTTCACAATGTGGTGATGACCAGCACACACTGCATTATGCAAAGGTGTAATGCCCTCATCATTTGGTTTACTGGGATCATCAACCTGTTGAAAACATAAAATAGTTTAGCACTTCCTTTTCCCTGAATACTGCATGGGGTTGCCATTGTTTAAAAGCTTACCTCATATATGATTCGTTGTACCAGATCAAATTCACCCTCCAAAGAAGCATCTAGGAGGAGAGCCAAGGGATTGAACTTCACTCTCAAACCATGGCCTGTTCTTTCTGAGTTGGGTTTCTTCAAGTTGGTACGTTTTGTCTGAATAAAGATGAAGGTTGGAAGGCATCATTTCAGGTTGTACAAGTGGATAAAATGATTCATTTATGAATCTCATCTTCCTTAAATCATATTTAGAGCTATGAAATCATTTCTATTTAAGTCTCTAAATAAAAGGCTTGATACATTACTACATTTTATGCAGTTAAAAAAATGAAAAAGCAAGCCAATATAGTTTCAAATCTTCTAATTAAAGATAATGAGTATAAGGCATGAAGTACTTAAGTCAGTGTTTTAAGCATCATCATCTTAATTGTATCTAATATAAACTGTGCATATTACAGGTGGATTATCTAAGACACTGAAAACTTTTGCTTAGCCTGGAAAGTACCACACAATTAAGCCAGAGTCTGTACTTAGAGGAATCAATGCTTTGAATTAGCAGGAGTCTCTGTTGTAGGTCAAACCTGGCAAGTTGGGAGTTTTGTTGTAGGAACAAAAAGTACAGAACATGAAGCTATTTTATGTGACATTCTAGCAGGTTTTATCAGAA